TATAGTGAAAAGAAAACCCACAAACTGGGAAAATGTCTTAGTGAACTGCCCCTCAGACAGAGGACTTCTATCTAAAACAGATGAAGCATTTTAAAAAATGAGACCGCCAAAATTCAAAGACCCAATCCAAAAATGAGCATCTGAGATGAATAAACAATTTTGAGATGAAGAAATACAAATGACAAATAAATACATGAAAAAATGTTCACCATCCATGGTCATTAGAGAAATGCAAATTAAAACCACATTGAAATTTCATCTCACTCCTGAAAGAATAGCCAAGACCAAGAAAACCACAAACAACAAATGTTGGAGACGCTGTTGGGAAAAAGGAACTCTTCTGCACTGTTTGTGGGAGTGTAGACTGGTGCAACCATTGTGGACATCAGTCTGGAGATTTCTCAGAAAGCTGGGACTGGCAGCACCTTTTGACCCAGCTCTTCTACTTCTAGGCATATTCACCGAGGAACTGAAAGCATCATTCCACAGTGATATATGTGCACCCATTTTTATAGCAGCACAATTTATAACAGCCAGATCTTGGAAACAACCTAAGTGTCCATCAACTGAGGAATGGATAAAAAAGTTATGGTGTTTTTATACAATGGAGTACTACTCAGCTATAAAGAATGATCACATTAACATATAAATAAATGGATGCAGATTGAGACCATACTCATAAGTGAAATAAATCAAACTCACATGTATAAATACCAAATATATTCCCTAGTATAAGAAATGATAATACATAGAAGTATGTGGTAATCATGATACCAAATCATATTGGTTTGAATCCATATAATGTTTTCACTCATTAAGTGCAAAGGTTTTACCCTGGGTTTTTTGATTTTATATTGGTGATAGTACGAATAGCTATTCTAAAGAAAATAACACATCATAAAAGCTAGTGCTGATTTAATATCCTCTTCTTTGGAACTCCCATCAAGCTGTTGTACATGTTTCCACTGGTTTTAACATGTTGTATCTTAATATATTTTACTGTATGTGATAGTATAAATAAAATTTTCCACAGGCAAAGAGATAATATAGAAATCATTGTTCATTTTCTGTTAATTGGCTCTAAATACCCTGTAATTTTTTCATTCTCTTGAATGGCTTCTCACTGTCTTGATATGATTGATTGTATAGTATACGAAGTTATACTCAAACAATTCAAGGAAAGAGGCACTATGGTGACTACTATTATGTTAGATTATCTGGTGATGAAACAAAATGATGCTTTAATTGTTCAGTTCTGACCTGTGTTGTTCTATTACAATGTCTCTTCTATCTCGATCTCCACCCTTTTTAAAAAAAATTCTATTTTTTTAAAGGAAAACTAAATTAAAAAATAGAGGGATATATTATAGTAACTTTTTTGTTTTCCTATTAACCTGATTTTTAACCCCAGTATTGCTCTCCCCATCTTGTTCTGCCTGATTTTACTATATTCTATTTTGTTTGATAGTATCAAGTTTGAGGGTATAGGCAACCACGATGTAGGCAATAAGATTTACTATGATGCCCATTATGGTTTGACTATTATCCTCTTTTGAAATCCAATAAGGTCTTCAGTGTAGATTTTATTGGTCTTGTTCTGTACTGTGTTGATCAATTCTATTATACCTGATGATATAGCAATTCTTTTTAAAAATAGCAAAAGGCACAATGGTAAACATTTTTGATCAGCTGATATTCTATTTTTGCGTCAAGTACTATGCCCATCATTATGTTCTAACCAACTCTGGTTTGTTAACTCACTTGAGGTTTTATTCTCTTCAAAAAAAGTAATAAGAAATACGGGAGTAAAAAAACCTCAAAAGTGTAATTGTTATTGTGAAGAAGAGAGGAAAGGAAGGTGGTCTAAGAGATATAAGTGCCTGTTTAAGTGTGTAGGGAGAAAAACATATTACTGAGCTTTGTTGGATCACTGAACGGAACTCTCTGCAATCACACTGTAGGAATGTTCACTTTATATGCTTTAATTTTATAATTTGAACAACTGTTTCTAAGAAGACAATATGTAACCTATTAACTAGGGATTTCTTACTGTATTTTTTCTTGAAATTCTGCATGATTTGTACCCTTTACTGCTTTGTTTTTTTATGTTCTTTTTTTCTCTTTAAAAAAATTAAACTGGAATTTATATCTTTTATTTATTTTTTGGTACTGGGGATCAAACTGATTACTTTACACTTGTCAGGCAGGAACTTAAGCCACTGAGCTATATCCCCAGCCACCCAATATATATCTTTCACATCTTATCATCTTCAGAGAAGTGGCCTCTACTCTTGGACTTGATGCCAGCAAGCATAAAAAATGTGAATAAAATCAGTCAAGGCCAAATAACATTCAAACAAACCAGCTTCCAATAAGATCAGTCATAGTAAGACAATGTAAGTAATACAGGGTTTCAGTTTTAGTTAATAGGAAATTAAGGACAGTTACCATCATGGTATAACCTGCTATTTTTGGGTTACATCTCTGTGCCCTCAAATCTATTATGAGTAGACAGACCAGAACAAAATATAATCAAAATAAACAAAGCAACAGAACTACTATAGCTTTTAAATCCTGATACACTTTTAACAATGTCCTCTGCCCTCTTTTTTTAGGCAATTCCTCACCTTTCTCCTTCTCAGGATACTATTATTCACTGTTCAGAGTATATTAGTTTAGTCTCTTATGTTCAGTTTCAGCATACATAAAAATAAAGACATCTACTACGAAGAGAATGAGACACATTATGGTAATCATCAACTTCCCCAAAATCAGTCTTGAAGATCAAAAAAGCCTGCATCATCCTGTAATTATTTGATTAGTTCAATAATGTTAAGTATATATTCAATGCTTGTGAAGATGGGAACAACTATTTGGAAAAAAACTAGAGACAGTAAGATAGACAATGAACATCTCAGTGGACTTGCTTTGAATCCTGTGTTTCCTTAACTTGGTTCCTTATGAACTGTTCTGTTTTGTTTTGTCATGTTTAATCTGACGATCTTTAAGATAAAAAACAAGTTTGTAGAACATATAAGCATATTAATAACTTTTTGTTGGATCACTGAGGTAAAATGTTCGCAGTGTCATTATTTGAGTATCACATTCTATGCTTAATTTTGTAACTTGAACAATTACTTCTAAGATGACAATATGTAACTAATCAACTAGTGATTTCTTATTGTTTATTTTTCAGAAATTCTGTATTATTTCTACACTTTTTGTTTTTTTTTAAATAAAAATAATTCACCAAAAATATAAAATTAAGTTTTAAAGACAAAATATTAAGTACATAGACACTATCCATACTTGAAAGTGAAAAGCCCATTTCATTTACCATGTTTAATTACAAGATGCCATGTTGAAGCACAAAGACACATTAAAAAATCTAAAGAGGTATAAGTGATTAACTGAAAACCATACAAAATGTGTACTTGAGTAGAGCTCCACTTCAGATTTGTTGTTTCTGGAAAATTTGTGAAGACATATTGACATCAAACTTCTGTATTGATTATTTCTTCAGGTCTTCTTAGAACTTTTAAAGTAAACTTAGATCTAAACTGTCTGAAGAGTGCTGCTTTTTCTATGTATTTACCAATAAACATGGATTGCCATATTTCTCACACTGTTAATACACATAGGATCTAGTGAGCTCTTTCAGATATGTAACAGTGATCAGGTGTGCTGAGAGTATTCCCATAACATATAGGATTTATCTCTTGTGTGATTTTCTTCGTGTATTTCACTTACAATCTGGCTGCTGAAAATGTCTCCACTTGCTTACGTAGCCATCCCACTGTGAATTGTTTCATGTGTTTTGCAATGACTGTATGTGTTAAAAGCTTTGCCACATTGTTATGTGCATAGGGTTTCTCACCAGTGTGGAGTCATTGATGTCTTTTACAAAATCCATGTGTGGTGAAAGCTTTCCCACATTCTTCACATAAACAGGGTTTCTCAACAGTGTAAATTTTTTTCATTTATTGGACAATGAGCATTTCTGCTGAAACCTTTCCCAAATTCATTACATATATAAGATTTATGCCCAGTGTGAAGTTTTTCATGCATTATGCAATATGTACTTGTGCTCAAAAAATTCTCATGATGTTTATATACACTGGTTTTAACTTGAGTGTGAACTTTCATGTTACTTACAATGTCCATGTTGGGTAAAAGCTTTCATATATAGGCTTTACATATATAGGGTTTCTCTCCAGTGTGAATTCTTTCATGTTGCTTACAATGTCTATGTTGGGTAAAAGTTTTCCCACATTTCTTACATACATATGGTTTCTGGTCAGTGTGAATTCTTTCATGTTCCTTACACTGTCGATGTGTGTTAAAAGCTTTCCCACATTGCTTACATACATAGGGTTTCTCTCCAGTGTGAATTCTTTCATGTTCCTTACAATATCTATGTGTGGTAAAAGCTTTCCCACATTGCTTACATACATAGGGTTTCTCTCCAGTGTGAAGTCTTTCATGTCTTTTACAATCTGCCTGTGTGTTAAAAGCTTTCCCACATTGCTTACATACATAGGGTTTCTCTCCAGTGTGAATTCTTTCATGTCGCTTACAATGTCTATGTCGGGTAAAAGCTTTCCCACATTGCTTACATACATATGGTTTCTCACCAGTGTGAATTCTTTCATGTTCCTTACACTGTCTGTATCTGTTAAAACCTTTCCCACATTGCTTACATACATATGGTTTCTCTCCAGTGTGAATTATTTCATGTTGCTTACAATTTCCATAATGGGTAAAACCTTTCCCACATTGCTTACATACATATGGTCTCTCTCCAGTGTGAATTCTTACATGAACCTTGCAACATGCACGTGTTTTAAAAGCTTTCCCACATTGCTCACATACATATGGTTTCTCTCCAGTGTGAATTCTTTCATGTTGCTCACAAGCTCCATGATGGGTAAAACCTTTCCCACATTGCTTACATACATAGGGTTTCTCTCCAGTGTGAATTCTTTCGTGTTTCCTAAAGCTCCCCATGTGTTAAAAGCTTTCCCACATTGCTTATATATATAGGGTTTCTCTCCAGTGTGAATTCTTTCATGCTTCTTAAAATATCCCTGTGTGTTAAAAGCTTTCCCACATTGCTTACATACATAGGGTTTCTCTCCAGTGTGAATTCTTTCATGTTCCTTACAATGTCCATGTCGGGTAAAAGCTTTCCCACATTGCTTACATACATATGGTTTCTCGCCAGTGTGAATTCTTTCATGTTCCTTACAATGTCCAGAGATGGTAAAACCTTTCCCACATTGCTTACATACATAGGGTTTCTCTCCAGTGTGAATTCTTTCACGTATTTTACATTTTGCCCGTGTGTTAAAAGCTTTCCCACATTTCTTACATACATATGGTTTCACTCCAGTGTGAATTGTTTCATGTTGCTTACAATGTCCAGATTTGCTGAACCGTTTTCCACATTGCTGACGTACATAGGATTCCTGTCCACTGCAATATTTTTCATGGATCTGAACATTGTGGTGTGTTTCTGCTTCTTTCACATTCACATTACCTTCTTCAGTACAAAGGAATACTTCTTTACACTGATTCCAAGATGTATGTCCATAGGATTGCCCTAGCTTGTCATTTCTGTAAAAAAAAAAAATCACATATCAGATTGATAACCATATTACTAAGTTTTTATTGGAGATTTGAACAAAATTTTTTTGCAGTCTCACTGTTTGAATCCCCACTTCATATGTTTCACTTTTGTATTTCATTATTTCTATGAGCAGCATATGTAATCATTGTCTTTAGATTTCTTACTGTTTATTTTCACTTTGAAAGTGGTATCATTTCTACTTATTTTGTTCTTTTTTTTAGTTTTTCCTCACATTAAATAAAAAAATAAGAAACATTCACAGTGAAATGGGTCTCAGTTTAATGACTGCATTAATGTCAACTTCTGTTTTTAATGCCTGCTAAGAAATTCTGACCATGAAATAACAGAATGGCCTTGTAAGACATGTTGAAAACAACCATTCCCAAAAGAATGCTACACATTTGGAAATCTTAAAATTTGATACCTTTTGAAATGCAGAATCCTTATCTTGACTTTGGGCATGGGTACATATGTGAATCACATACAGATCATTATGATATGTTTGCCCATCACAATCTCCCTTCTGTCCTTAACCTGTAGTTCCCTTTTCCATATGGTCAGTCTTACTTTTCTCTATTAACTCTTTCGTTTCATTCCACAATTTATATTTTGGTTTCTCATCTAAAAGAAACCCTGTGAACTTTTAGGTTTTATAGCTGAACTATTTCACCAAATTGATGGGACAAAAAACCACCTATTTCTTATGGCAAATGACATTATATTATTTATTTTTTGACATTATATAACACATTTTTTTCTTTTCCATGCTGGGAATGAACGACAACTATTAGCATAAAATCTATATCTTTTTAAATCTGTTTTAAGACATTTTCGCTGATCATTAAGCTGTGAAGTTTGAACTTGAATTTGCCATTCTGCAAAATCTGATTCCTTGTGTGCTGGATTTACAGGTATGCACAATCACAGAGAGTCTATTAACATTTTCCTTCTCCACAAATCCAGTGATAGATAGCTAAGCTTCTTCAAGGCCTGATCTAGTATAACTTGATTTGCTTTGTATATGAGCAAGCATGTATTGGTATTTTAAGTGCATTTTGAATTTTTAAAATATATCCAGAACAAGTATGAGGGGATCAATTTCTAGAGACAACTGCACACTGATATTCAGAATGAGTGCACTTAACATTCCACCAGCCTTCTAAGAATTTTAGTCAAAATGGCTGATTCTTTAGAAGATGGCTTGGAAACACAAGAACTCCATTTTATTTCAAATTCTATTGCAATCTTAGCAATTTTTAGATGATGAATGTGTTGTATTCACATGTATATATGGGTACAAAAACTGAAGGGAGAATGTTATAACTCAAAGTGTATGCCTTTCATAAACATCTATATGCAATGTCATACATTTTCTTGATTTAATCCACTCATTATACATACCCTAGCTTATACATCTTCAGAGAATATTACTGACATTAAATTGAATATTGCCTCATTTCTTTGGCGGCATTTTTCTGCTGACTCACTAATTACTCAGGAACATTCCTTCTTCTTATGAGTGCAAATTACCTTAAGTATCTCCAGTAAATTTTGCATTCTTTTTCATCTTCCTGGATATCCCCAAGTCCTCCTGAATTGTAGACATAGAAATACCAGTGCTCATTAGAATAATACATACAAATTAATAGATTTTGTTTAGAGTTATGATATAATGTGTCCAGGTCTGAGCTATTTTTAAAAATATTTTCACATTGTTTTTAATGAAACAGCACTGATGCGTGACATACAACATTCTGAAAGCATGAGTAACAAAAGTATTTTGTCCTTACCTATTACAGTCATGTTCCTAAAGGTTTCGCCCATCACATCTCTGTAGAGGTTCTTTTGGGATGGACTCAGCAAAGTCCACTCCTCATTGCTGAAGTTCACGACCACATCCTCAAAGGTCACTACCTCCTAAAGGATCAATCATACATATATTTCTCACATGAATATTGAGACACCAGGTTTGGGATATCTTAAATTCTCTCCTACAAATCTGAATCAAAAGCAAAGTGTGGTGATATGTATCTATAATTCCAGCACTCAAAATGCTGAGGCAGGATTGTTTCAGTGAGTTCAGGGCAATTCTAGCCTCCATAGGGTGTTCAAATCCAGCTGATATACATATAGAAAGCTTGTCTCAATAAAACAAAACAAAACTAAACAAATACAACCAAACAAAACAGCTGAATGAAGACTGATTTCTTCAAATTTAAATCATGTCTTGGTCATTAATTTTGTGTATATACACATTTTTGAAGACAGCAAATTTGATGATAGATTGCAACTCACTGCTAATGTAAGAGTGAAATAGGAGCACTGATTCTTGTGCTGAGTCACTGCAATAGTCCCTGTGTTCTGTCTCTAATGCAGAGCTCACAGTGAAAAGCCTGTAGGACCAGCATCCACAAAGCACAGAGGCAGATAAATATCCCATCAATCAACTGTGAAGCCAAGCAAGCACCACTTCTCCCTGGTAAGCAGTGGCGGTCTGGCAGAATGTGGCCCTTCCAGGGGGAGAAACAGCTGCAGCTCCTGAGACCCACACCATGTGGGATCTTAGGATGCTGTGAAACCAAACAACTGGCCTGTCTCCCTACTAAGCAATAGTGAACCTACAGATGCACGGCCTAGAATCAAATATCCCACTTCCCTACCCCTCTTCTCCTGTCATCCCTCCCCCCCCCCCGCCCGTTAGCAAATGGGAAACAGAAATCTGAGAGTCTCCTGGGAAGCAGACCATAGCAAATAAGGGGGATTTCCTTCTAGTATCTCTTTGAAGGCAAATATATTTGTTGCTGTTTTGCTCTATTCTGAGTAATGGTATTGCTCTATTCAATATTCTGTTTTGATAAGTACTATAATGTTCTGTATTTCATCTCATTTTGAGATACGTGTTTGAAAGAACAACTATTGGGACTGGGGATTTAGCTCAGCGGCATAAGCACCTGCCTTGCAAGCAGACAGTCGTGGGTTCGATCCCCGGTACCGATAAAAAGGAAAAAGACAAAAAAAAAAAAAAAAAAAAAAAAAAGAACAACTATTATAAAGATAATAAAGTATACTGTGATACCTATTACTGTTATTGCAGTAACCAGTTGTGAAGTTGTGTACCATTTTCACTGTATGATCTTAGTTGGCCTTATTCTGCCTTGTTCTGTTGTATTTTACCACTTTCAAAATTTAAAAAAAGAAAAAAAATCTCATCAATCACTTTGATTGGCTGCAGATAATGTCTCTTCAAATCTCATTTAGGCCAGTGAAAACTTTGTTCTTAATATACTTCAGCAGCATTTTGAAACATGACTTTGGTTTCATAGAACAAAACATAAATAACATCCAATACGGTACACAAATAATAACTCAAATGTTAGTGAAAAATGCTGTTTTTAAAAAGTAAGTATATATAATGGAACGAGGCCCAAGCTGTAATTTATAGCTCACTGTCACCAAGCGTTGACTTTCAATTCACATATAAGAAATATGTCCTGTGAGGCTGGTGAAGGACTTCTTCCTTGAATTTGGGGATATCCTAAGTTACAGAGCTGTCTAACATAGAGAAACCCTGACTGTGACACCCCACAGACAAAGTGAAACTTAAAAAGAGACTGCATAAGACACCTTTGGTTTGCTTTTAAAAATTATAGCCATACAATATGGAAAAATTCCAACAGTATTCACACTTTCTGAGAAACAATGTGGATATCTGCCATACAGCAAAGAGAACACTTGCATAGTTCCATTGCAGAGCATTTCCATATTTAAACTGTCTATGAACAACCAAGCCACTAAATCAGCTCTTAATTCAGAGATCACACACCTATTCCTTTCCACTCAGAAGGATATCACGTGTATATGTCCATGCAAATGCCTAAATTTCAGCATTTTTTAATGAGAATTTAACAGGTAGCCCTTTCAGGAATTTGTCCTTCACAAATTTTTACCCCGTCCTTGATAACACTTTCACATTTGCTTCATTTTTCTCAGACTTCAAAACTCTATGGCTGATCTCACAAACCTAATCTGTGAGCAAGGGCGCCACCTAAATAATTAAGTATGTTCAGAAATTATTTTGCACTGATCTGTATAATACACAGGAGTTCATGAGTTGTTTGGGAAGCCTTTTTCCACTGAGGCACACTACTACACATCTCTGAATTCTCAGGACCTTTGCCACTACCTGTCATGAGGATGGAAATATGAGAACATACTATAAATTGAGGAGATCGCTACAAATACAAAAAAGCCCAAGTTTAAGTTGAGCCATTGTGGCTATGAGGCCCTGCATTACAGACATTAATAAACTTTGGACATTCCAGATCTGCTACTATGAGGAAAGAGAACAGAGACCTAGCTCATTACTGCTCTACAAGCTACAAAAACATCATAGTCAGGGTCTTCTCAAGCTCCTTCCAATGCCTAAGATTGTGGAGTTACCAGGCCAGCAGTGAATTTCAAAGATGATACTTGTGTCTGCTGCTGTTATAGTGAAGCCAGGGTTCTGGGGACCCCAAATCACCCTTGCCAACAGCAAGAGGCAAAAGGGACAGTGAATGACCCATGGACAATGCTGGAGGACCTCAGGAGCTGAAGCTAACTAAATACCTGAGGCTCCAGACACCGGAATTACTTCTAAATAATTGTAACTGGTTTCACCGCATCCACCCTATCTCTGGGCTTCCATCCACAACCTTACCATTCCATGGCTCCAGGATCTATCAGGTTCTTTGCTAATCAGGCCACAGGACATCAAAAGTACTAAATGAGATGCAGCAAGCATTTTCCTACCAGTATCCTACTCAGAAAATGTAAATCATGCTGAGACACTGGAAGAGACAAAAGTCACAGCCAGCAATGGCCTGAAAATTGGACACTTCATATAGCCTGCCCCTTCATCACTGATTGACTCCTGCTCTACTGCTCTCCTTCTGAGTCAAGAACCAACAGGGAAAGGAACCCCTCCCCACAAGAGAGGATCTCAAATGATAGACTGTAGTGCAGAGACTTCTGGAGCTGCCGTTCTTCTACAGTGGTGAGCTCAGCTCGACCAGAGGAGTGTTTGTACTGAAGAGCTTTACCTCAATCTTTTAATTTTCAAATCCATTTTATTTCAATGAAAAAAGAACACATCAACTAAAATTAAATTTCAAAACATGTCAATCGGGGGTAACACTTGAATATACATTGCACACTGTAATCCCCAGATCATTCACCCAGAGCACAAGACATCTGTAATCAATTATCCAAACAGTACTGTTACAGGCACCTGAGTTATTTAAATAGTATTGGCATAAGGCAGGGCTAGGTCCTCCAAGGAGTCCATGCAGGAGACGAGATACCGTGCAAATATGGGGAAGACTGACACCTCATGCTACGGGCCAAGTCTCAAGACAAATGATAAGCAAATTTATCCATATCCTAAAGACTGATATTCTAAATAGTGCCTTAGCACTCTGAGGAGGTCAGGAGTCACCATTCAAAGAAAAGTATGCTTATTCTAAGGACTGACATTTTAAATATCTCCTATCATCCTGATGAACTCAGGTGTCACCCTCCCAAAACCCTAAGGGAAAAGTCACTGCTGCCTAAGAATGCCTGCTTCCTATGTGACTCCCTTCCCCTTTGTTCCCAATTTAATCAACTTTTACATGAACTTATAATCTTATTGGCTACCATAGCTCTGTCCCATCTTATGCCCATCTGCATTGTGAGTTCCGATTTTTCCCACCTTAAACTCATCTTACCACATGATTTTACTCTACAAAGTTCCCAAGAAAGACAGTGTTTGGCATCGCTCTCAGGACCCCTTCTCTCTCTCAGGTGGCTTTCTTTCTCTCAAAAAGTATATACGGATATATATCATTAAATTGAAAACATGATTATCACACTTTTTCTACCTAGCACCAGCCAACATTTTCAACTTTCAAGTATGTGGGAAAACAAAAAATAAAACCAACTCAGAAAATAGCAATCCCATAAGGGACAGTGTATCATTCACTGTAATACCCATGTTATCTGCAGGTATTTCATAGGCCACAAAAGAAACTTTGAGCCTATGAAATACCAAGTATCAGTTTCCATAAATGTGTTCATAGCACTACATCATTGACAATTGTGATTTTTTTTTCTGTATGAGGGATTGAACTCGTGACCTTGTGCTCTCCAGGAAGCTCCTTATATCCTTGAGTTCAATCTCCAGACCCAACTACTTTAGATACTAAATATGACTATTAACAATGTTTAATTTGCCATTGACATATTTAGTTATAAATTTTGTAAATCTACATTTTCACAAATGAAATTATTTTCTTTCCTTGCAGTTTAAATTACTTTTTTTTAAGGTACCAGCCATCAAAGCTACAACCTAGCACTTTCCATGCAGGTGTTTCTGCCTCCTAAGATAAATCCCTGGCCTGTATTAATGAATATTTCACTTTATTCATTCAAATAGAACTGTGATTTTAGCAAAGGATATCAATGTAGAGAGAAATTGATATACAATGAGAGAGGAACTGAAACCTCAAATAGTTAATGCAAAAAACTAAATACAACAATCACTGCTACAGGCACAGCTGAAGAAAGCCAGACCTGAAGGTGAAGATGAAGGGACCAGGTCTGCATGGTCCTGAAGAGAAAAACAACAGCTTGAAATGTACTACAGTTACCACCACCTCCTCCAGGAAGTTCAGATGGGCATCAATTACCATATTCAATGACCAGAACAACTGGACTACTGTTCCCACAAAATGCCTTGGCTGTTTCCATATACCTTTTCTGGCTGACTTGTTCCCCTGTTGAATATTATTAGTTAAGCAGCTATAAGCTTATAGGTTGATTGTAGTCTGAGACCCACACTGTACTCACATTGTGACTTTCCTATGTAAATGACCCCAGATAATAGGTCTGGGC